CAGCTTGAGATTGTGAAGTAGTCATTTGAGAAGGAACGAAATTTTCAGGGTTACGTAGTAGGGAAGCAAAAGATGAATAGTAAATCGTGAGAGAGACGCAAAAATTTTGAGGCGTGATTTAATGGTGCAGTGGAATGGCGTGTTTGGGGGTTATAAGGGTTTGCAAAACGACGCACCTTTTCAAGTTATAGAAGAAAACAATGATTGAAATTCTTGGAAATTTCGAATGTTGCTGGAAGCACAAAATGAATATGGCAAAATTTAATAATTGTTATTAATTCTGCCATATTGGAGGGTAATTGTTGACACATAAAAATTCAGCCCAAATCGAACGGCCCAAGGAGTGAAGCCCAATTGGAGGATCCCCAAATCAGATAGCCCAAAGAAAGAAGCCCAATCACAAATCAAGATGAAGGCCCAAATAGGGAGGCCCAAGAACGCGGCAACGCCATCGCCCAAGTTTGCAAGTCGCCCAGAATCTGAGCGAATGGAGTGCCATACAGTCGCCCAGAGATGTTACTCTATTCTTGCCCAAACCTTCAAGTCGCCCAAGGTCTTAACAAACATAAAGCGTCATGGTTATCAAGAAGTGCAGTTATCAAAGCAGTTGTTAAAGCAGCCCTATCACGTTCCACGATTCATTGAATTCAATCGAAAGCGGTTGAACGATGAAGAGTAATGACAACAATTAAAAAAGGCAGTTTTCATGACAAGTTGGTCATTACGAGGAAAGTGGGAGTTATAGGACGATCAAGCAGTTTTTAGGCGGTTGATCACAAAGAGATCGTCCATGAAGTATAAAAGGGAGAAAAGACATAAAGCAAAAGAGCGAATCAAAAACTCTCGAACAGAGAATATGTAACTTTAATTTCCTTAACTTAGATTTAAACACTTTTTTCAATAACTCGTGTGCTTGCGCCCCTTAGAGGCACTTTGTTTTTAATTTCCAATTGTAAAGTCATCGTCAATAAAAGAACATCCCTTTTTGGGACTTTATCACAAGAGGTTTGTCACTTACACAATCGTCTGATCCCTTTTAATTGTTAGCAACTAACCCGCGCGAAACACCAACCATTCTCAAGCAAAATTGGCCATGTAACAATAAGCATTTTAAGGCAATTAAAATGTTCCCCAAATTTTGAGAACTTGGTTTCAGGGATCTAAAAGCCTTCAACATTGCATGTTAGCTAGGTTAGCACATTCTGACTTGTTTTAATTCTTCACAAAATCTTTAAGGTTTGGAACCCTCATAGGCAGCATGTCGAATGATTGAGAGTGGACCTTTTGAAAACATAATCCAAGCTTACTAGTAGTCTTCTCTTAAACTATTCTAATGCGCTATCATTGGTGCCTAATTAGTTTCTGTTATCTTTTATGAATAAAGGGTGATCAAAGATCATCACAGACCTATATATGTATGTCCAGCACGGACCTGTCTGCTAACCTACTTTTCAAAAACAAAAAAGATCAGAACCCACCAGATTGGATGTGATGAAAGAAGTGCTTAAAAATTGTGGTGGTAATACGAAAATTATATACCTACGGCCTACCAAAATTTTCATGAGCAACACTCTATTTTAATTGTATTTAAGGTTTTCAATATTTCCCGGCTCATTTCAGTACTCTATGTATGAACCTTTTTTCGACAAATTATTATGTTCAACCTTCTATTAATTAGCCATTGTTTGAGCCACATTATTTTCATTAGAATGCATTTTTTGAATAGTGTATTGATGAAAAATGTGTGATTAAAAAATAAGAAAAAGTTTTGGGTTTGTCTGTAATATTATTTTATTAAAAAATGTGAAGCTGAAATTATGTCAAATCATTATTGAAAAATGTATTTTATTTCAAAAAATATGGGTTAAACAGGAGTAAATCTATTCTTCACTAACAAATTTTGTCTGAAAAGTTTATTAGGAACATAAAATAACTTATATGTTCGTCGTAATTAAAAAAATAAATAAATGCAAAAGTGTGACAAACCCACATTTCTAAGGACAAAAAAAAAACATTTTGACAAAATCCATAATCAAAGATAAGATGTGCTAATTAATGAATGATTAAAAACGAAAAAAGTCTTAAAGAATTAGTATTACAATAAGTAAAGATTGATGACTTTAAGCACAATTAATAAAAAATTGTGTTGTAAATATAATTATACTAACTAATTATCTAATACTACAAAAACATTATGATGGTATTAAATTTTTTTTTAAAAAAAATGTTATATTCCCTTTTTATTTCCATTTACCTTATTTTTCCTTTATTAAATTTGGAGGCCATAGAGAATTCTTCATTAAAATAAGAGTAATGTTATTTAGTACCAATAGTATCAAGCACCAATTTACGTGGCAACTGCATGATATTAAATAATAGATTTACTTAGATATAATGTCGCACGATTTATTTAATTGAACTTATCAAATGTAGTCATCTAAACTGATCATCTAGCTCCATTGATGTTAGGTAACATTATTATTAAAATCAATATCCCAATTGTTCAATGAAGTAATAAAAATAATATTATTTGTAGATAAATAGTTAAATAAAGGTTTACATACGAATGATATGCCAAAAATAGAGTGAGGAAGAATTTTTTTTTTTTTTTTTATTGAAAAGATTCTAACTCAATCATATATCACCATATTATGTGTATGTAAATTATTATATAAATTAATTATGTACATATAGCAAAATCGAGACAAACACACAAAAAAAAAAAAAAAAAGTCCCAAATTCTACACGAATCGGCTGCCACGTGCTAATGCGCACACAAAAATCTGTATGAAATAATTTCACCATAAACTTCCTCCCCTCCCAAAAAATCTTACAAATATCGCTGCAAAGCTAAGCTGAGCTGAGCTGAGCTGGGCTGGGCTGGGCTGTTCCCGCCGGCACATATCCCCACGCCAACCCCGTACCCCACTCCCACGCACCCACTCCCTTCTCATACAGTCATATGAATACATACATATAGATACATCTATATATATTCACAAAATCAAATTACGAAAATCGGAGAGATTGGGATAATCTTATCCCGCGTTTTCCCCAAACAAAAAACCCTCAATTTTCACTGTCTTCACTCTTTCTCGCAATTGGGAGATCGAATTTGTCCTTTTTGCGTATAGATACGTGATTCACGCACATTATTATCATGTATAGAGAAAGAGGAGGAGCAGTCGGGAAGGGGGAAAGGGGACACGTGGCGAATCTGAAGAGAATCCAGGAAGCCCTAGATAAGCAAGTGGACCGATCTAATTCCTCATCATCTACCGTCTTTGCGAGGGGAGGAATCAACGGAAAAGATCCCCGCTCTGTGTTCAAATCGTCTACCCCGGATAATATGGCGAAATGCTCTGATGGTTAACCCTTTTATCCCTTTCTCGATAATTTATGTTATGCATTGTCACGAGTGTTTGTAAATTGAGTTCCTGTGATGTCCCTTGATTGACAGTTCAGTATCTCGTAGATGTAGTGATTTTTTAATGTATTAGCTTGTGTGTTATATTGATTGGATGCTGCTTGGTTTTTAAACAGTCACTTAATTGGGTCCTAGCAATTCAAGAAAGTAACATGTCTGTTTAAAAGTGTATGGTGTGTCTTGAAGGGAGTCTATATTGAATTGCCTTCCTCCTGGTTAAATAAGTGTATCTATTGATTTTTTATTGGTATTTGAGAGAATATTATAATAAATATTGGCAATCAATCATTTATCACTTGGAGGAGACATGCCTATAGTCCTCTCGAAAGTGAGGGTGCCTTTGCAAATAGTGACATAGGGGGCTCCTATCTTGTGCTGGTTGTGCTCTGCGTTGCATTTTGTATAAAAGCAAGTCATGACAGTTTTATGCATACAAGAGATGGTGTCCATTACATTTGTTCCCCACCCAGATTTCGCTATCTACATCAGTCAAATTTGCATTTCAAATGCCAATCAAGAAATGCTCCGGGAACTTACACAAACAACACTCTCTTCCTCTTCCTCTGTGGCTCGCGATTAGCAAAATGATGAAGTTTATACTCTTAGAAAGAATATTTTCTGCAATTGGTCTGTTTTGTGTCTTGGATTCATATCTTTTTGGTTGAATTTAATATTTTTTTTTGCATGTGAAAACTAAAAGGAAACAAAGAATAGCAGCTTCGATGAACCTTCATGAGTTTTCTTTTAGTTGTACTATTTCAAGCTTATATAGCTATTGTCTGAGAGAACGATATCTTATGTATGCAAGTACCATGACATTTATAGAAGAAATTATTTTTTTAAGCTTGGACGCATTTGGGAATAAATGTTTTTAGTTCAAATACACAGGTTGGATTTAATGGTTGGGGAAGGTCAACTCGTGAAGCTAACGAAAATGGATTGGGTTGGTTTAAAGGTTACCGAAATCTTCGTTGTTGGAAAAACCAAATACACAGATCATATTTTAACCTGTTATATTATGCTATATTTAAAACTATCCTTTTCTGGATCATTTCTCTTTTTCCTTATTCATAATTTAGTAAAAAAATATATTTTAGCTTAAAAAAGGTGAAATATTCTTCCCCTCCTTTTTTCCACAAACTGATTATCTCAATAATACTTTTCTCAACATTAAAATGAACAAATTTGATTTTAACTAGAAAAAGGAACAAAAGAAATCCAAACCTTGAGCCATTTTCAATACTAACTTTGCCCCATTTGTGGTATTATGATTATAGCAACTGATAAAGAGTACTTTAATTTCTAAACCAAATTTAGTATGAATATAAATGTTTTAAAAAATGTAAAGCGTGACTAGGTATGAAAGTCGAACTTCAAGTTTTACGAGTCTAAGCATAAAAAAATGTTTTCTTATTTTTAATATTATTTTAAAATTTTAATTATTCCAAAAATCATTTAGTAATTAAAATAATACATACCAATCATCAAAAATTATAAAATACTATATTTACTTAATAATTTCTACAATTAGTTAAAATTTTGAAATGCAATGCTAGATTATTTTTTATAATTTTAACTTTCAATTAAACAAATTTTACTTAATAGATTTATAGAAAATTCATACTTTTGAAACTTTCAACAAAACGATAAGTTTTAAAATCATAATTACATAATGTAGATAACACCATAACTTAATTTTTTTTTCTAACTCTTTATTGGATTTTTCACTTTTTACATACTGTCATTTAAAAATTTGAAACTAAAGTCAAATCAAAGGCTTTTAAAAAAAGGAAAAAAAAATTAGTAATTTAAAGTCAAATAAAAAGCTTTTAAATAGAGAAAAAAATTAATAAAGTGCGCCTAAGCACGCATTAAGCTGTCAACTTGGCACTTGACAGTTTAATTTCGTGCTTACTATCAAAGCGAGGCATTTTGCCCATGGTGCCTAGGTGCGCTTTTTAGAACACTAATAAATATATATAGAAATAAAAAAATTAAAGAAAGTATGCCTGACTCAAGAGATACAAAATAGCCTAAAATAACTTTATCGTCGTTTTGGGAACTAAATATGAAGAGCAAGATTTAACATTAAAAAGGGGGAAAGGAAGGGAGAAAAAAGGTTGTACTGGTGCTCGTTTTTGATAATTTGTAAACAAACAAGTTATCAATTGTATTTGAACTTTTTGAAGAAATGAATTATATAAATTAGATGCTTGTCTCAAAATGACATGGACTAATAAGGAAATCCGAATTCATTGAGCCTTTTGAGAATCAAATAAAGGCCTCCAAGAGAGCCACGTTCTAGTTCTTGACATAAGGGGTACACCAATTGTCGCCGACTCTGCCCATCATCCTTTGGATGGATAGAGAAGGAGGGTATAGCTTGACTTCTTTAAACAATAAAAGGTGAATTAGATCAAAAGAACATACCAGTTTGGAGTTTTATCAATAATCATACATAACTCACTACCCCACTCCTACCTGACATTTGCATTTTATCTATGTATTTTCTTGAAGTGTACTTTGTTGGTATGCTCTGTGTGTTTTTCTTCATTTTTGCATCCGTTTATTCCTTTATGTGAACCTTTCTTTCTAAAAAATGAGGAAAATGTTGGCATGGCTCTACAGTCTACGTCCTAGTGGATGACATTATCTTTGGAAGGGACCTATGCCACGCGACATTGAGAAGTGTATATTCCAATCCAGTCTTAGTGCCTTGCTGCCGAAGAAAATCTAATAAATTAGAAACTACAGATTATTTGATTTCATTTTTGGATGTTTCCTTCTTGCTTGACATTTTACTTTCTCTTTCTCTCTTGTAGAATAAGCCCTCGTTTGAGCCCATTATCTGGCTAAGAATGCATTTTGGAATAGTAGATTGATAGATAATATATGGTTAAAAATAAGGAAAAGTTTTAGATTTGCTCGTAACATTATTTTATTGAAGAATGTGTGGTTGAAAAGAAGATAAAGAAAAATGTATTTTGGAAATAATGAGGATCAAACAGGGACTAAGTTTCATGAAGAACGATATGTTTTGTTTTCTCTACTTTCTCCTACATGCCTCTAAGCATAAAGTATTTGACAACCGGCTCTAAACTATTGGACCTCTTTTGCGAGCATAAGCATTTGCTGATATTTTGTCGCATTTATCTCCCCTAGTTCAAGAAACAGACAGCGGCTATCTGCATTTTCCGATTCAATTTCACTTCAAATTAAGAATGAAAGCAAATACAGAAGTTTCATTCTCAATGTCACTTTGGTTATGATAAATTTAATCTTTTCTTAACTTGGTATCTTTAGACATGAATTGGGGAAAAGAGTCAAAAAGATGCCGCACCGGAAACTCAAGTTATCATTTTTGCATATGCCTAACCTAGTGACTTGTAGCTTCTAATGATGTCTATGTGATGGTGATTTCATTTAAGACTTACTAAAAGTAAGTGCTTATCTTAGGCGTATATATAATAAATAGATTATAATCTTTCTTGTCATAATTACTAGTTTTATGTAACGAAATAATTCATTTATGTTATTTTCCCAAATTTAAAAGGAATTTTTGGTATAAATAAGACTATTCTCTCTGAATTGTAGTATAGATAATTGGTTTAATGAATGAGGTATAATTGAGATTCCTCTCTGCATATTCTTCCATTCTCTCATGCTTCACCCATGACTAGGTTGCTCATGAGACTTATTTATTTGCCTTTGGTGAGAGAAGAATTTTGTTGTCATAGAGCAGTGCCAAGTCCAAGGGCATAAAACTTTGTGCTTTTCTTTTTCTATTCAGCATTGTGCCTATAGAAAATCGAAGTGACTTTGAACAGTGTGTAACTGTATATGTTCTGGGACAACTTTCCTCTAGATCCTGCAGAAGCTTATAATTATATTATATCTTTGCTGACATTTCTATATTGTGTTGATATCGGAAGTATCTGAAGCAGACAGTGAGGAGTCAGATGTAAGTGGGTCTGATGGGGATGACACTTGTTGGATATCATGGTTTTGCAATCTTCGTGGGAACGAGTTCTTCTGTGAGGTTGACGATGATTACATCCAAGATGACTTCAACCTCTGCGGTTTAAGCAGTCAAATTCCTTATTATGACTATGCACTCGATCTAATTCTAGATGTTGAATCCTCACTTGGTATGTTCTTGTTAGAAGAATTATTATTGTTATTATGATTCAATTCATAATCCTAAAAGTTCGAATGTTTTATTTTGAAGCATTGTGAACATTGTTGTTAAAATTGGTGTTCTCCTTGACGTTTGTGAACCAAGTAATGTTTAGGCCACAGTAATTTCCGGATGTAGTCCCTACTAGAATGATTAAAAGGGGAATTGTTCTGTACTTTGAAGAAGTTTAAAACGAAAATTACCATTATGATTTGGTTTTATCAGTAAGCCAATGAGTTTGGCACAACATTTGTTTCTTTTGAGATCTCTTGCAAGTTATTGCTATTTTTAATTTGCGCTTAATTGGTTTTTGGCAAAAAGATGAACTGGTTTCATTCTTTTACTTGTTGTGTTGAAGACGAGATTTAAATAATAAACATGTAATCCTCTTTTACTGTTTAAGCTCTTTAGATCAAGTGGTTCAACTTGGTATCGGAGCAATAAAAGGTCCTTGGTTCTAGTCTTGTTGTCACTCATTCAATGTAATTGTGCATTTGTCATTAGAAAAAAATGAACCCCACCTACATGTGTACTAGAGCGTTGAAGACAAGGTTTAAATGATATATATATGATTTGGCTAATAGCTTAAGTTTTTAGATCGAATTGTTCAACATGTTGGTATTACAAAGCATTTACTCTGCTAAAATTATCTTGTGAGATGCGGCGAATGACATGTTTAAATATTGTAGATGACAAGTTATTGCTCAAGGCAGAGAGAGTTTATTTGATTGCCATAACTAAATCCTGTCTAAGGTAAACATTGTGGTAGAATATAAAAATGCAAAACCTGAGCACGATATTATTTTTATCAGCAAATCTCAAGGAAATAATGGTATTTATCAGCAAACCTGAACACATCTGAGGCTTCTCTTATTTTCTGTGTCCCATTTACCAATACAGCTCACGTTAAATAATGGACAGCCGTATCCTTCACTTTCTGTTGTTTCAGTAATTTTTATGTTTTCTACTGCCCATTGGCTCTATGTGTGCGACTTCAAGCTCATGGATCTTTGTGCATATAGTTTTAATCTGATTGTGATTTTTGAAACATCCAAATTTTGTAGGTGAGTCATTTACAGAAGAGCAGAATGAATTGATTGAATCTGCAGCCGAGATGCTTTATGGACTAATTCATGTCCGTTACATATTAACGTCTAAAGGATTGGCCGCTATGGTAAGACTTGGTTCCATAATTTTTCTGTTTTGGTTCTTAAGATTTTATGTAAGATGGGACCTGGCTGCCTGATGCAGGGAGGAAGGGTTTAATTTCTTCTCACAAGTCCTTGGACTAGAATTAATGATCTTATTTGACTTGAAGTTTAGTTGGTTACAGTTTAGGTTTTAGTTAGGTTCTTGATTTATTACTTTAGGTTTACATACTAGAATTAATTACTAACCCTGGGTTTTAAATTTTCCCAGCTAGAGTAGATTTTGGATCTTTAGGTTTAGAGAACCTATTAAATTGTTTCAGGAAATATAAAAATTGGATAATATTTATTTATAGTCTGGAAAGTACTAGTTCGTTTCATAGTTAGCTTAAAGAATTACTCTTTACTTCGCTCTCCTAAGAAGCACGATCACTTCTACTAAAGTAGCGTATCCTTGTCCGATATGTATTGTCTCATGTTAGATACTGACACTGACACTGACACTCTTCGGACACTCGAGATATAGCCCTTGTTTGATCCCATTTTTCGCAAAAAAATGAATTTTGTAATAATGATCTTTTGGAGAATGTGTTTATAATGTAAGAAAAAGTTTTGAGTTTACGTGCAAATTATTTTATTGAGAGAATGTGTGATTGAAAATGAGTTTTTAAGTAATGAGACCGAAACAAGGGGCATATATTCAACAACTCACATTCCCTTGTTCCATTTTTCTATACATCTTTTCAATTACTGATGCTCTAGGTATATTTTATAAACACTGCTCGGGCAAGTGGCTGCATGTCGTTTGACACGTGCTATATTAAAAATTTAAAATTCATAAAAATAAAGACATATTTATGAGTTTAAAATTTTAAAGAATATAATTCGGCATGTCCACAGCGTGTCCATGTCCAGCTTTTACAAAAAACCACATGTCAATGTGTCCGTCAAGCATGTCCATGCCCGTGTCCATGCAACTTAGTCGATCTCTTTCAATATTGCTTCATTCTTTAAATCCATTTTAGTTGTGCAATTTTGTTGGTTAAAGCCTGTCCTCCTATGATTGCCCTTTTAAAGCTAGAGAAGTACAAGAATGCTGAGTTTGGGAGATGCCCAAAAGTATACTGTTGTGGACAGCCCTGCCTACCTGTTGGTGAATCAGACATTCCCCGCCTAAGCACTGTGAAAATATATTGTCCCAAGTGTGAAGATATTTACACTCCTCGATCCAGGTTCCAAGAGAGTATCCTTTTATTTCTTTTTTTGGAATAATTCCTTTCGGTTTGATTTGGTGGATCTTGAACTATCATCTGTATTAGGCCTGATTGATTATAACCTTCAGACCATTCCTGCCAAACTCTTTTCTATTGGTTCATTAATAATCAAACTTGGAGACATGCCTTAAAGAGAATAAATGGACTGAATATACTGAAACTACTTAAAATTATTTCCTTCTTTTCTTTTCCCCTTTCTCGTCGATTTCTCTCAATTTTGTTTATGCCCAAAGGACAGTGAATTTGTGTTCCTCGATTTGTTTCTCTATGATGATTGTATTTTCCAGTGAAAACAGATTTTGGAGATTGACTTCAATTGCAGTTGCAAAGTTTAGTTTGGTACAAATCTATTTCTCCTCCCAAATTTAAAACTCTCTTTATTGTCTGGAAATTAGCTGTCATTTGTTGCTTTAACTGGTGGGAAGGCATTGATGGAGCCTATTTTGGAACGACATTTCCCCACCTATTTCTGATGACTTATGGACACATCAAACCTCAAAAGTCTTCACAGAGCTATACTCCTAGAGTGTTTGGTTTCAAGATCCACAAGCCGTGATTATCAAGTCATGAGAAGCCATTCAGGTGTGAAGTTAACGTTATTGCTTCTTGAAACTTCTTTTACCAGCCTATAACAGTCAAATTATCTGCCAAGGCCCACAGGACATTACTTTTATATAAATGTGGTGATATTTTGAATCTAGTTCAATAATGTCCTTGTTTGGTAGAGATTTTATGTGAATGGTTTTTATGGAAAGTGATTTTCCGGAGAATGTGTGGTTAAAAATAAGAAAATTTATAGGTCCACGTGCAAAGTTATTTTATTGGAAGAATTTATGATTAAAAATGAGTTTTAGAAATGGAAGCCATCCAGGACGAGCAATGCTCTATTATATCATATTATTTGAGATTCCATATAAAATTGTTTTCCTTAATTTCTTTGTTTACGTGGATTTTTGTGCATGTGGGGTGCGGGAAGAAGTTTTCCAGTTAAAGCTTGTAGTCTAGGCAAACAGTTTGATATATGTACATGGTGAAACCCCAACTGAAAGTGAAAATTTTCATTTTTCTGCAAAATTTCTTTATTGAATTGCCATAAATGGAGAGTTGTTAGAGTAAATAATATTAATTTTAAATTATATATGGGAATCTCCTCAATGCTCTGGGGAAAAGGTGTTAGAGTTGAGAGGCAGCTTCACGTTTATCCTTTCTGTTCTTCTCGTGAACGCCGCAGAAAGAGAGAGAGTGGTTATACCAAGATGCAATGGTCCAATTTTGTATATAATAGAACTAATGGTTGTTAAATACAAACTGTTTTAATGTGGGATATTTAAAGGCCATGAATTTAAAAAAAAAATAAGGCTCAAACAACTTAAAGTGGATTAAATTCAAATTTTCCATTGAGATTACAAATGTATAATTCGCGATTGATGTAAAATTAATTTATATTTTGTAAAATCATATTAAGGACCCATGTGACAGTTTTTGATAAGAGTTTTATAAGATTTTTGTAAAAATTGATCAAAAGTATGGGTAACAAATTGATAAAGTTGTGATTTCATAAAATATGTAGTCAATTTAAATTTGATTTATCGAAAAGTTTTAAGTTTTATAAAATAAGTTGGAAATCTTTATTTGATTTTGATTTTTTCAAAATCTCTTTTTTCTTAAAATTTTATTTTAATACAATAATTTTACACAAGGATATATTATTATTTTTAAAAATTATTTTGACGAAATCACATTGAAAAAATCAAAGGCTACACGTCAAATTTTGTCTGGAAAGTGCGAATTAAGCTGGTAAAATAGTAGAAAGCTGACGAGGTGCATGTTCACCGCTTATCTTTTAAACAAGAGTAGTTTATACTTGTTGATAAAAATATACATTAAATAAAGATATATTAAAAAACTAAAAGAATTAATTATACTTTCAACAAGGAAAGTAACCTATAATTTGGAATAGACGAAAAAAAAAAGTAAATATATTTTTATAGGATGGATAGGGTATTAGTAGATTCACTTTACGTTTCTTATGGGTCGATGTGGGGAGGATGAGAAAAATCCATGTTTAGCCCATGTTTGATGAGAAATATTGATAATCGAATTCATTCATGTATTCTCAACTACAAGAGTTGAGATTAAAGTGGGAAAAGAGGCGAATTCTAAATCTTAGCGCCTGTTTGAGAGCGATTTTTCATCCCAAAAAATGATTTTTTGACCGTTATATCACTATTCTAGCCGTATTTTTTGACTTCTTCACTTACGGATGACCTTCACTTTTTTCCTAATGGTTAAAAAATCAATTCTTAAAATCAATATCGAATTGGCCCTTAATTTCGTCAGCAATTCAAATTACTTTAATTTGCTTATTTTGATAGTTAAGCAATGATAACTAAAAACATCCAAATTTTGAAATATGTGTGTTTGAGGAGTTATGTTTCATTGAATTTAAATTAAACTCTCAATCCTCATTTAATGATACTTAACACGTTAATTTATTACTTGTACACAATATCGTATATTTGCGAGATTATCGCAACAACGAATGAGTGGTATTTATGAGTTACACAAAACATGTGAATAAAAATTGATTTGATCAATTATAATCGTCAATGAGCGTGTGAAAATTGGGTATTTCTTTACCGACTTTTTAACAAATTTCCATTGCAACACATGAAATTTCAATATGTTTATCCCTAACCATGCTCCTGGGAAGTCAAAATTGACCATAAATTTCTTTTCCTATCAAACCATTAGAATCTCCCATACTTCTACCTATGTTTATACCCATCTTGACTTGCCCCAAAATTTAATTTGAATTTTCCATCAAGATTACAAATTAAGGAAAATCTTAACAGATGAAAATTTAATTTACATTTTATAAAATCAGTGTTATTAGACTTAGAGAGTGTCTGGTGGGGGATTAAAAAAAAATTTTGTTTTAGTATATTGCGATAGAAGTTTTTGAAATGTGTTGTTGAAAAGTTATGAGACTCGTGAAAAATATGATTAATATTGATTGTTTGATTTTGATTTAAAATTAAATTTTAATTCGGACCAAATAGACTCTTATTAATAAAGTCAAATAATAGCTCATGTCACATCATCTTGTCTTGAAAGTGAAAATTAAGGGTTTGTAATTTCAAGGGGCAAGTTTACCGGGAGATTTTTATAAATGACCTACCACTATTTATTTTTGATAAAATGTCTATAATATCCTTAATGAAAGGATTTGTCATATTTTGCACAAGATATCCTTAATTTATTGGGATAGTTCTAAAATTCCTTTATTTCTCTCATTTCGAGTTTTAATATATAATTCCATCCTTTGATCTAATAAATTAGCATAATCTGTAATATAATTGTCATGTAATTTACTAAGATTATCATATTCCTTAGATGAAATATCCATAATCTCTAGTTGAGCAAAAATATTTCTTATTTTTTCCAATAGTTTTTCTAACAGATTATCTAATCCTTTAATTGTATATCCTGGCATTATTCAGATAATTCCTTGCAAGCTTTATGAGTAATAATAACATGTTAGATAAGGTTTTTGCAAACATGAAAAGTAATCATCCTTACGATTCTTTCAAGATATTAGAAAAATTCTTTCTAAATTTAACAAAGACAATAATTTTACCTTACTTTTGATCTTAAATCTGTATTCTTAGAACCGAGTGACCTTCAGGCTCTGAATCTGCAAACTGCTCCCTAAAACGGCCTCTTACCTCAATGGGAATTCTGCTATTTCAGCTTCTTGCCCTCACTGTATCTTTTCTTAGAATGAAGAATAAAGATCTTAAGGAAAGAAAATTCTCTCTTTGTTAAAGTAAGAAAGAAATTATCTTCTTCAATCTATCAAGAATCTATGGGATAGAAAGTTTAGAAACTCATATCTTTCTGATATCAAAAGATTGAAATTTTATTTCTATAATGATTTATACAAGGTTTCTATTGTATACAAGGGGTTTCCAGAAAAAACTGATTTTGAAAAAAGTTTAAGGAAAGAGAATGGTTTCTAACTTGAGATCCCCATTCTTTCCTCAAAGACATCTATTTATACATGACTCAAACTCACTATTATTGATCTATTATATCATTGCATACCTCAGAATTTTGAAAAAAGGCTCACATGCCTCTCTATTCTTTTCCTCCTGGGGTCTACATTGTCACATGTATTTTTTGTTTTTTCATCAAAGTGGCATCTTTTCTTCCATTATTGCCTTTTCATCTTTGGCTTCATATGCAGCTAGCTAGATGTTTTTCTATTATTGCTTTTCCATTTTTGGCTTCATATGCAGCTGGCCAGATGCTTTGGTAGTGGTAGGTTCTTTTCCATCCATCAATCTTTCAATTTTGTCTACATGTGGGGCACTCCCTCAATCTGCATGATTCTTGGATTGTTGTTGGACTTCCACTAATTTGATGAGTATCAAATTTCTGGATATATTCTCTTAAAATGGTAGATTTTTCTTTTCCATTATTTGTAAGGAGTGTCCATCCTTCATATTGGCACAAGCATCTGAATTTTTTATCATATAAGTTCTTTGCAATGTTGTAAAGAACTTTCATGCCCAAAACTCTTCGAGATTTTATCCATGATTTATTGACTTTAGGCAATGGTTTATTATTTCGGCCAACTTCAATCTGGAAATCTCGGCCAACATATCCAATTGTGATAATATGTTCAGCAGGATAATATATACTTCCATCAATTTCGGGACTTATTGAATAAAATTTGATATAAATAGACCTCCCTTGGGCAAATTTTGAAACTTCTGCCCTGAATATATTATCAAAATTTTCAATTTCTTTTAAATTTTTTCCTGAATAGATCAAATCCAGAAATCCATAATCTGCTGCCATTTTGACCATAAAAGCGTCTGCATCTTTGGTAATTATTAATTTGGGATAAACATGATCTCCTGATGCAATAAAATAAGATTCATTTTCTTCCAATTCATAAATAATTTTGGCAAATGATCTATATTCTTCTTCTTTTGATGATAAAGGGGTATCATCATCTTCATCAGTTTTGATTCTTATAACTCTTGTATGTTCATCACCATTTTTTATAGTCACCTTCCGGGGACTTGCTATGTCTCGTTTGATATTGCTGGGTCCACTGCTGCTTCCTGGCTGTGTACCTGTTTGTATTTTTGAGATTGTATCAATTGGTATTTCCTGTTTGGTATCTAATGACTCGAATTGTGAAGTAATATCAACAATTCTGTCATTCAATTCTTTGGTATATTTGGAATGAGAATTAGAGATTTCCACCAACAATTTGACATTTTGTTGGATAGATTCTGCCATTTCCTCTAATTGCTCAATTCCAATTTTCATATCTTCAGATTCTTCCATGAGGAATTTCATTCGTCTGTTGACGTCTATTAATGAATTTTTGATATTATCCATCTCCAAATTCGATGTTTCTGCTCAAAAAATCTGCAAGATAGTTATTTATTCCTTTAATATAAATAATATCAAAATTGTAAAATGATAAACATGCTTGCCATCTGTGTAATCTTCTATATTGAGGTTCCATAGGTTACTTATTTCTAATAAGACCTGCAACTTGAGAATTATCAATTTCAACAACAAATTTTTTTAGATAAAAGGAATAATGAAAACTTTTTTATTCCTCTAATAATTGCTAACAGTTCTTTTTCATGGGTAGTATAATTTATTTCTATTTGGTTAAAAGTTCCACTTGAATATCTGCATATTTCATTTAAATCTATTTTTAATATAGCTGTCCAATATTTATCCGAGGCATCAGTATTAACAATTAAATTATCTTTTTCATCTGGTAATCTTAATTTTGGTAAATTTTTACATTCTTCTTTTAATGCTTTAACAATTTCAATATGTTCTTTATTCCAACCTT